TTTGAAAGCTTCAAATATACAAAAATCTATTCGAAAAACTATTTAAATGCTCAAATACAAGTTTTTGCTTTTTCTTCCATGCATAAAAGTGCAAAGCTGTTACTTTCGAAACGTCGTCTTTCGAAACGTCGCGGAGCCGTCAAAAACATTTTATCAGTTGACCACCTTTTGATGTCTTTTATAGAAACCGAGATAAATTGGATCAAAGTTTGGGGGCCCTTCTATTAATGGTGTTTTTTTTTCATATTTCTTGTCAAATGCAATAAAACAGATTTTTTCAATCATTCGTTTTTATGCTCAATTCTCAGCAATCGTTTCAAATTGATTCAACTGATACTTATATTGTTTCTTGTTCTATAATTTTTAACATTTCGAGAGATTTCAGGAAGTGCTCTTCAGAATCCAGGTCAGAAACCTCTTTAGTATCTTGGACCAGACAAGGTAAAAAAATGTTTTGCAACTATTTTTCTACCGTAACCAAATGTTCAATTTTCAAACACAGTTTTCTAAGAAAATTGTCTAAGAAATTTTCCAAAAAAATCTCAAGAACATGAAACCTTAATGATGGAACAGTAGTCATTTTTCAAAGTTTGAAAGTATGCAAAAATTAATTTTTCAAGATTTTGCTGTGTTTCTCTCGACCCCATGAATATTAACTGCCAATTACTCAACAAAACTCTAAACATATATGAAACAGTAGTAGCAAAAAAAATTCAATTAAAGTTATCAGGGTTCCTGTAAGAAATATCAAAATTTTGTCAGCTGATAAAACGTTACTGATATTATGAAAAATATTTTATCACTTGACACATTTTTATTATCTGTTAAAGGAACCGAGATAATTGAGCTCAAAGTGTACGTATAGGGTGGGGTGTTTTATTAGAGCCGTTACGGTACTTCGCTCTAGCTTAATTATCTCTGCCTCCAAAAATATGATGGTAACAAAAATGTCCATTTGTTTCAGCTCAACATGAATCTGGAACCAAGAATACCCCTTCGGCAGATCCTTCAACCGGTTCTGAATCTGATTGATCCGCGAGATGCACAACCAGCCGACGCTCCACAAGATCCGGATGAACAACAACGACTAGCAGTGATGCGAAGAGATAAGTATGTAGAATTCATAGGATTAATGAATCGGCAACAAATTCTTCGCCATGAAATGATCCGTCGGTTACGTCAGAGAATTCCCGAACAAGAAAATCGAATCCGCATGTGGGAAGACTATATAGTGCAGAAGAATGTACTAGAATATCATATCGTTCCACTTATGAGTAACTTGTTTATCGGACAACCCATTGATCTAGAAAACCGAAGGGAAATTTTGAATTTATTGAATCAAATCGATGATCTTCGCGAGCCAGTGATTCCAGATTTGAACGGTGATCCAGATGAGCAAGAAGTGATTGAAGATCTGGATCCAATGGAAGAAAACAAGCCAATTGGTCTGGAGATACTTGAGAGGAGGATTCTGAAAGATTTCCAGCTACGAAGACATGGAGAAAGGAGAAGAGAGGAGCGGATTCAAGAACTAGAAGAAGAGCAAAGAAGATCTATTCGTCGTATAGGAATCCTGTTTGGTGAAGAAGGAAGGCGTCAGGAGGAGATACTGCGACTGGAGGAACGAGAGCAAAGGCAGCGGGAGCAGTTACACCAATTAGAAGCAGAAATAGTAGCCCCGCTAAATGAGCAAGTTCCGGAATTGGTGGGGAGACAAGCAGAGAATGATCGACGTATTAGAGGAGAGCGAAGGAATCGGGATCTTCCGCAAAGACTGGAGGTTCCAATGAATGGACGTGTAGAAGACGAAGAAGAAAGAATTAGGGACCTTCAACATAGACTGCTGGAGGTTCGGAGAAATGCTCGTCGACCGGAACCTGCACGCCTGAATCATCCGGATATGGTTGCAGGAGATCCAGTGAAGCCAGAACGTCAAAGTTGGGATTTTCAGTATTGGTCGGTGAGTATGATTAAATATTTACAACACACAGGGAATATAATTTTGAGCTAGAAAAATACCGGAAAATTGATTTTTGCATATATTTTTGAACTTGAAAAATGACTACCGTTTCATCATTGCGTTATAAAATTCTTGCATATTTTTTCAGACAATAATTCTATGGGTTTTGAAAAGCGCTAAAATTAATTATCTACCGTAAATCCAGCGAGGGCATTCAAATTTGATCCAATATATCTTGATTCTTGTAAAAGATACCAAAAATGGTTTATTGATGAAATGTTACTGATCTTATGATAAACACTTTGTTAGTTGACCATTTTCTGATATCTTTTACAGGTAATGAGATGAATGAACTCAAAGTTGACGGTTAAGGTGTGTCATTTTTCGGTACCAAGAAAACCTTTTTTTTAAATAAATGTTGTCTTTACCCTATTAAAGTATTTCTATTGCCTGTAAAATTAGGATAACTTGTAGGAAAGGTGACATTGGTCCGTTCGAGAGCCGCTGGTCAGCCGTTTCAACGCCAGATTCATTCAAGATCCGTTTCTGAGCTGCTGATTAGCCTCCGAGCAGCCTTTTCACAGCCAAGGTCTTTTTTCGTCCGTTTGTGAGCCGCTAGTGAGCTTTTCCCCCAGAAAGACTCTTTGAGATCAATATTTTTTTGATGCTCAGTCATAGCTCAGCTCTTATTGGCGCGGCACATCTAATATTTCGCCCGAAACTCCAACTAATGCCATTAATCAACGTAATTTTTACAGCCTAACAACTTAATCGAATGGATGGAGCTTGTTCTCCCCGAGCACTTGCGACGAGATGGGACTATCGGCCGAATCCGCGAAATGAACTTGGATGGTGCCGTGATTCCCGAGCTAGCTACGGATGATTCAATGCGACGTCTTCTAGGCTTGACTCAGCAACAATTTCATTTGTTGAAGTGTCATTCCATGAAAGTTATCAACAAGTACTACGATGAGAGGCGACAGCGGTTTGGTGAAGATGCTGTGCAATAGAGTGCTTTTTCAAGCCATCTCAACTACCCATGACTTTTTTCTGGTCTTCTTTGTGATTCTCATTTTCAACGTTATATACCTACAGTAAAGATGAATGCCTATTTTTTGAACGTTTTCATGCTTAATCCTCAACAATCGTTTTTCAATCGATTCAACTTACCTTGATCTTTAAAACCTTCTTTTTGAAGCATCTAATATTGGAAACTTTTTTTGCAGGAATTATGAATATTCGAGAACAAAACAGACAACTGAGGATGCAAAGACTCCGAGCCAGGGACGAAGAGCAAAGACTTCTGGAACAGCGTGAAAGAGCGCATCAGCGCCGCGTTTTCCGTATGTCGTTTCCCGATGCACCACCACTTGGAAGGACTCCGAAGCCAGTTTATCCGATAGCCAAGCACCCGGTGGGCCAATGGGGCGTGGAGTTCGGAGATGATGTTGTCCCAATCTTGCCTCCAAATGCCACCGTAGACTTCAAGTCGTGGTCGGTGAGTATTTTTGAGTTTTTTAGGTTAAAGAGGCTTTGGCGGGGGATCATAACTTTGTTCAAACTTTGAATTTCTGTTTGAACTAAAAAGTGCAACATAGAACTTAAGGAGCTCTACAAAATGATATATAATGCAACTATATTTAAACACTGACTTTTGAACTAGAGACAGTAGGAGCTTTCTAGACTGATTTTAAAAATCTAGACGTTTCACGGCTTCTAGTTTAAGAATCGGCAGTTCGGTTTTTTGAATTTTTATCATTTTGTACATCTCTTCAAGTACTACATTTTAATTTTTGTTACAATCAAAAATACTAATTTTGAGCCGAGTTATTGGTCGGCAAATCGACAAGTAACATTTGACAGAATATAATTTTTTGTATTATATAGCTATTTAATTAGTTTGACATTTTGAATGATGATTTCTAATATAAATGAAACAGTTTATTTTTAAAATTTCAAACAGAAAAAAAAAAACCAAAAAACCTAGCTTTGAAAACTCTGCGACCCTAAAACACAGAGCGCTTACCAACCGTAAATACCGCAATGAGACTCACCTCACTACATGTCACATGTCAAGTCAGGTATAGTACCTAAACTTTGAGCTCAATAATCTCGGCTAATTCAAAAGATAACGGAAATTGGTCAATTAATAAAATGCTACTCATTTATGCCTGGACTTTTCCACCAGCATTTTATCAGTTGGCGGATTTTTGATATCTCTGATAGCAACCGAGATAATTGAGCTCAAAGTGAACGTATAGGATGGGTTTTTAGAGTATTATGATTAGTTTGAGTGCCTTTTAAAAAGTAGGGTACCTGAACAACCTTTTTTTAAATGATCATAACAAAACAAAGCCCTTGAGTGAGCTAACATAAGCGGTCGCAATTCCAAATTTTCTGTCCCTTTAAGTCTTCACAACCCTTCACAACCTTAACAATTTTTCAGCCGTCAGCTTTCTTAGAGTGGGTGGCTATGATCATCCCCCAAGAGATTGAGAAAGGACTGGGTGATCGTATTAAGGCAAGAATTTTGGGCGGATACCATGTCAAGATCATCGCGATTTCCACAACACTGAAGCAGGTACTAGGAATGGACGATGAGCCGTTTTCGAAGCTTCAAAGTCAAGCCAGGAAAATTTTGAATATCTACCGCGCCGAGAAGTTCGATCGTCGAATGATGCAGTACATGATTGATAAGAATCGGTGGGAGTTGCAGGAGATGAGATTAGCCGCTGGACCAATATATTGGCGCTGATCTATTGATCTTTTTCTTTTCTTTATTGTTTTCTATATGGGTCGTCCTTCCTGTTCTTCAACACATTTTGAATTACTTTCAAATAAAATCATTGATCTTACCTAGTTTGTTCTTGCCAAACTTTGAAATCGTTTTAAAATCGATTTATGTATACTTTGCTGATCCTTTCCTGGATCCTCTTATAAATCTTATAACTTTCATTAACCTTCTTTCTTCAGACAACCAACTTTAAGACAAATTGTGCACCATGGATGAACGAAACGAGGCTAGAGATTGGGAGATACATCTTGAAGTAATTGAACGTTTAAGGATGGAAGATGAGCGAGAATGGTATGAAAATATGAGCAGAGCCCGTGCGGAATGGCAAGCTAGAATTCGCGAACCCGTGCTACCCGTGACACCTCATCCATTGGGTCGGATGGGTATAGAATTTGGAGATGAGGAACTGGTTGTTCCAATATTGCCACCGGGAAAGAACTGTAATTTCAAATTGTGGACGGTGAGTGTTTTTTGACATTTATTATTAGAAAAAAAGATTTGGTCCGAAAGCTGTTCATACAATAACGGATGTATAACGGACCAGGATCAGTTAAAATCTGTAATAGAACCTTGCGTACTTTGAACTCAAATATCTCGGATCCTCTCAGAGATATAAAAAATGTGTCAACTAATAAAATGTTGGTGACGTTATGGCAAACATTTTATCAGTTGACAGATGTTTGTAATCATTTATAGGAAACGAGATAATTTAACTTGCTTCAAACTTACCATTTTCATCAAGTTAAGAAACATTAGAAATTTGAGGGGCTAGAGAGGCAGACAACGAGACACACTGCGTCTCTAATCTAGTGGGCACACAATTGCTGTATTTCAAAAATAACCACATAGTTTGTGAAGTTAGTGTTTTCTGAAAATTATAGGAAAAATTCAAATATTCCAAAAAATCGTAATATCCAAATCTTACATTATTCTTCTCTAAATTGCAAGCGTTTCTGTTCATTTTCCATTTTTTTAAAGGATTTCCGAAGTTTCCAGACTACCGTTAAACTGGCCAAAAATTCGGGGGGTACAATGATTCGGGGGTACAAGGGGGTACAACTGATTTAGGGGTACAAAATTGATGATTCGGGGGTAAAAAATTCGTGGGTACAAAAATTCGGGGGTACAACGATTCGGGGGTACAAACTACCAATGATTCTGGGGTACAACTCATTTCATTTAGGGGTACAACGCTTGTGATTCGGGGGTACAATTTTTTTTGAGGGAGTTTCTGAATTCCTGAATTTCAGAACTTTGGAATTTCAGTATTTCGGAACCTGAGAATTTCGGAACTTCACAGTCTGAGAATTTCAGATTTTCAGCACTTCAAAATCTCAGAAACTCGGACAGAATTTCGGTCCATTCTCCAGGGGTACATCGAAATAGGGTACATCATGCTCAAGGGGTACATTGACTGAGTGGGTACGCAGTCTGAAGGGGTACATCTAGGTAGTTGCACAAAAACAAAAAGTTCGGATCTGGTCGAGATTGAACTCGCGACTTCAGTTTTTCGTGCACCCACGCGCACCACTATACCAATTCACCCAGTTTCCCTTCTCAACCGCAACCCGTACATATTCGGTGGTTTCTAAAGCAGGAAGAAAGTGAAAGAGGTTGAGAAAAAACAACTTCCGGAAGATTTCCCACGACTATATCTGAAAGTGGACACAACGTAATTTAAAATTCAATTCGGCACTGAAATTTTTCTGTTAGATTTCATTTAGTTTTTTTTTCACTTCTGTAGTTTACAAAACTTTGTAGAGATGAAGGAAAAACCAATGAAAAGGCATGAATTCCGAATTCTGACAGCAAAACTATGAAATAAAAACCTATTATTTGTCTTCCGAAATCAGAAATAAATCGGAAATTAAGGGATTTTTGTCTGAAAAAAATTATTTTTAGGCCAGGATTTTGATTTCAGCTGATTCCATCGTCGTTTCCAATCGCTCACTTCTGTACTTTATCTGTCAGTGTTTAAAACAATTTTTTATATAAGAAATTTGCTTTTTTTTCTCGAAAATGTGTCTTTTACTGTGAGTTCTGTGTTTGAATCCCAAAAAATTGCTCGAAATTCTCATGGAAGAGTTTCCGGAATTTTCTAGGCCAGGGGCCGTTGTCGATTTACGAAGGCAATTTTTTCTATTTTTCCTCCTATTTTCTCGATTTTCAACGATTTTCGACTGTTTTTCGTATTTTTTTTTGCAGAAATTTGTGGAAGATTATGAATTTTTGGCTATCACAGTAGTTCTGGTCACCATTTTCAGTCCTAGACTCATTTTTCGTATGACGTAATCGATGACGTCATATGACGTAATCGATGACGTATTTTTGAACTACCAATTGTCCTATTTTTTCGTTTTTCATCTTTTTTTCAGAACGTTTTTGTGATTTTACAAAAATCTCAAAATGGACGAGAGTGATTCTGAAATTAAAATGTCGAGTGACGGCCAAAATGAACCAGAAAAAACGAAAATATCTGCCAAAGGAGAACCAATAAAAGAATTTTCGCTTGATTTGGATGAGGATGGCATATGGAGAACAGGTCCCTATTCGAACAAATTTTCAGTTAAAACGATGAAAGATATCATTGAAAACTGGTCAGTTGAAAAAGAAAATTTAATTTTAAAACCAAGTTATCTGTTTCAGTGTGACATCGTCAAATCTCACCGATTTTCGTTTGCCAGTGTTTTCGGAACCGTCAGTGAAATTCGCAAAATTTCGAAACGAAGATCATAAACTTTGTGATGGACTGTCTTGGTGGAAGACAACGAATGGTAGGATCAGCTGATTTTCAATTCATTTTTATTA